ATACTTTATACTTTTTGGTTTACTAAGTGGGTTTTATTACTTAATTTTTGAGAATGAATTGAAAGTGTTTTAAAGACTCGACAAATTCATATTTTATATAATAGATACTTTTGTATCTGAAAGATAATTTCGCTRTATTGTACTTGAATCACAAATATTTCTGGTTCTTTGTTAAGGTGTCTATAAAATTTGTATTACAAAATGTGTATCTCATAGATACTTATTTTTGAAAAAATTTAGCTCAAAGATACAATTTCATAAAAACATAAATTTATGTAATTAAAGTTGTGAACTGTATCTCCATTCATTATTTTGGTGTTTATGAAATTTTTATAAAAAAAAATATGTATCTGAAAGATAAAATATTTGTATTTTTTCATATCTTGAAGCTGTAGTTTGCTAGGAACAAGTTAAAACGGTTCTTGATAAAGCTCTTTGTGATTGAATTTTTATCTGTGACCACATATGTATGTATCTGTGAAATACACATGTAGATATGAAAGCAAARTTTAAACTGTGCAGTTCCTTTGATAAAAAATTTTAATAAAGAAATTTTAATTAAAATTCGTAAATATTTTCCAAAAACCGTTAGCTCTACACTTTCATTTTCTAAATAAAAAAAACACAATCACTTCATCACTCGGCAGCTTTCAATATTGATAAGCAATTTGCATTTTATAATCAACCACTGACGCTGGCATTCATAACCAATCACCCATCAGGTTTCTAGGGCATATCAGATACATTTTTACACAAAGCGATACTTGCGCATCTCAAAGATATTATTTGAAATTCCGCACTTCGCCTCGCGTTTTACGGGCTTTTTACGATCGCGACACAATTTCTGGCAATTCCACATGCCCGAATCAAAGCGCCTTGCATAAGTGCATGCAAATTGTACATACATACGTGTGCAAAACAATTTCGACTCGCTTTAGCTAAGCAGCCACTTCCTGTCGCCTGCAGCGCGTGACACGCAACGCACGCGCTTGCTTTTCGCTGTATTAATATTAGCCGCACGACATTTGCGTACCGCATGCATTTTTGCTTTGTTTTTTATTGTTGTTGTGTTACTTGTCTTTGTTTGCCACACAAATAGGTACCAATTTGAGCGTTGCGTAGCGGAATGAGGCGACTGCATGACATTTTTGCTTTGATGGCGAGCGATTGTTTGCTTGTATGTTTATATACATATATGTATGTATGTATGTAGTTATATGTATGTATGTGTGTGCATATGCACATTTCACTGCGTATTTCGCGTGTGTGCTTGTTGCAGCTTTGGTTAGTGCACTTTCTTGTTGTTTTATTAAAAAGTAAAACATGGGCGGCACTCACACACAAGCACACATATGCACATACGTAGGAAATATCTAATATTACCGGCAATAACATTGACGCCACACGCGTCTACAACAACGACAAAAACAAGAACYAATGCGACCGACGAACTAGGCCTACCTCGGAGTAATTGCGACTGAAGCGAACCGAACGCCACTGAAAGCGAATGAAAACTGTCCGACTGTTTGACTGACTGAACTCAACGGTAACGTACGCGTATCGGCCAAGCGGTAGCGCGTCGACTGGGGCACGCTTGCAGCGACGYATGCACACACATTACAARAAGAACGTGAGTGTGTGAGTGTTTGTGCCGCCATAAATAAACTCAACATACTTGCGCCGCAYGTTGCTAGAGTTCTCWGTCGACGCGGCGTTGAGTCACGTTGCKKTTGCTTGTTGTTGTTAGTGGCGTTTCGAGTATTTCCTTTGTGCCGGTTCTTTCGTGCTCCCCAAGCAGCTCCAGTCGGTCGCTGTACGACGCGTACCGCGCAGGCGACGTTGGCAGCGCTGCTGCGAGTGCAGCTACTTGTTGCCGCGCTTCGCTGATCAGCCAGCCACTCACCGTCCTCATGCATGTGTGTAAATGTGTGTGTGCGTGTGTTTGTTTGACTTTTGGTTTGTTTATGTTTTTTGCCCYTTCGTGTTTTGCTTTGTCTTTCGGTTTCGTTTTCGTTGTTCAGGTTCTTTTTTATTGACTCTTTCGCCTTTTTATTGAATTCTTTCGACTTTACTCACAACAAATGCGCGCTTGTGCCTTGCCTTTGTGCGCTTACCCAGCCACACACACACACACACACACACACACACAGCCATACACGTGTAAATGTACTTTGACTTGTAAGTAGCCTTGTTTTGTTGTTTGTTGTTGCTGTTCTTGTCGACATGAGTGCAGTAGCCGAGTGTASTGGMGCTGAGTGGCTCTTGGAGTGGCGTGTCGCGTTGCGCGTTGAGTGCTACAGCCGCCGCTTRCTTGCTGTTTGTTGCCGTTGTTGTTGTGTTGCATAGYGATCAGCAGGCCGCACTCAACACCAACTCAGCAGCTTTGACTTACGACCCTTTTGCTGCTGGCAGCGCGAGCTTCCTACTTARGCCCACAATATTTACATATGTAATACATATTTACACATATATAAGTGCATGTTTCCGTATGAGTGCATGTATGTATGTATGTGCATAATTGCTGATCGCTGGCAAWGCATTTGGCGCCCATACGAATTTATCAGGCTTTTCAATTAAGCAAAAATATTTTTATGATTGTCATATACAATTTTAATTGAGTCGGCGCTTGACCTTTCACCCTTGAGATTTCATGTTTTTCTCTGTTTCTACAATTTGAGGCTTGATTGATGCAAMAAATTTGTTTGTGGATTATTAGTGGAGACTGTATTTGTACATGCATCTGTTAATATGTTTTGTATGCAATTGCATTTAATCTACAAATAACTGTTTGACAAGCAAAAATGTTAACATACCCTTCACAAACATAAAGTTTTCATACAAGAACTTGATTTTGATCGGTGAGTTAGTCAATATGGTCCAGTGGTCCGATCAGAAAAATTTGTTTTGGAATTGTACCGAACAATGTCACATTTCGTGAAAATATCTTGTCAAATAAAAAAGTTTCAGACTTGGAATGTTCAGTTTGTATGGCAGCTATTTTCTATAGTGATCCSATCTAAACCATTTCTTTGAATATTGTAAGGTTGCCTTAGATAGAAATCTGTGCCAAATTTCGTGAAGATATCTAGCCTAACAAAAAAGTTTTCCATACAAGAACATGAATGTGATCGTTCAGTTTGTATGACAGCTACAAGTTATACTTGTTCGATAACTGCAGGTTCAACAAAAGAGCTGCTTCTTAGAGAGAAAATAATGTGTGCAAAACTTTAGACTGATATGTCGGCTCAAAAACTGTCAATTCGAAATTTTTTGAGAATGCTTTATGCCACTACAACCACAGACGAAGTTGACGTTTATAAGACTGTGAAGTCTATCATATTGAAGATGTATTCACTTAGAAGTATTTATTAGTATAATTTTCTTTTATAATTTGAGAGTCTCTACTGCTGGCTGGTTTCTAATGCAATCTGAAATTGCTCATGTAGTGAGTGCGGATCATCAAAGTGAACAACGAAATCCACAAACATAGCTCAGGCTCTTCAAATCTGATTTTGCTTTAGCAATTTAACCTTAATTCTTTTCTATTCCACAATATTCTAGATAATAACACAGTCGAGCAATGAGCTTTAATTTGTCCGTAACGATTTTGGTTTTCCTCTTGCATATGATAATTATAATTATCATGGTATCGACGTCCATATGTTTCTATTGTACTTATCTATATAAATAAAACTTCGTCAAAAGTTACATAACCCAACGCATAATAACTCTTGCTACAGGTGTGGCTTCGGACTCAGTAGACAATTGAGAGATAAAGTCGTCTCTCGACTTCGGACTCAGTAGACAATTGAGAGATAAAGTCGTCTCTCGACGAACAAAGACAAAACTCTACAAGTCACACATTTTCCCATCCTGCTATAAAGTGATGAGGCATGGACCCTGACGACATCTAAGGTGTAGGCGTTAGGAATTTTCTATGTAAAGGTTCTGCGAAAGATGTATGGTCCTTTGCGCATTGACCACGGCGAATATCGCATTCGTTGCAACGATGAGCTGTAYGMGATATACGACGCCATTGACATAGTTCAGCGAATGAAGCAACTGGGTAGGTGATGTCGTCGGAATGGATGAAAATACTCCAGTTCTGAAAGTGTTCGACACAGTACCCGCGGTGGAAGCAGAGAAAAAGGAAGACCTCAACTTTGTTAGAAAGACCAGGTGGAGAAGGATATGGTTYTTGCTTCATCCAATTGGCGCCAAGCAGCGGAAAGGAAGAACGATTGCCGCGTTGTTGCAAACTCGGTTATAGCCGCGTAAGCGGTGACTACGTCAATAAAGAATAAGAAGAAAAGCTACATATTAAACAGCAGTATTATTTTTGGGGAAAGCAATATTGTGGAAGCGCTCATCTATCTCCTCATGGTAGGTCTAGCTTTCGCGGCTGTGGGTTCAAATACGACGAGTCAAATCATTATAATTCATTTTTTTTTACAGCTATAAATCTAACCGCTTTTTCACTACTATAGGTATTACCTGACTCTCCACTTAACGAACAAAATCTCATATACATGTGGAGAAGGCGTGGTTATCAACCAAGTTCTGAGGCGAACTACCTATGAAATTGGTTAATAGTTTTACTAGGGCGCTGGTGTCTTGCCCTCATTGCCAGATGTACGAGGGACAGTCGTAGCCTAATTAAGTAATAATGTGTMCACTTAATAACGAYAACGTATTTTCGCCAACACTTAATYTATGAAAATCTCTAACCTTAAAGAGTTGCCACGTATTGTAATTTTTACGAGTACAGTTATGTGAGCTTTAAAAGTGGTTACTTTGAGCGGCACTAAGTCTTCAAGCRTACTCTAAATAATTTGTTGCCAGAAGCTAAAGAGAGGATCTTATAAGAAGCTTATTGTATCACAAACTACCTAATTATGTGTTTTTCACAATTCAACTTAACCCTAAATTTGCTACAGTTCCTGTTTGAAGAGATTAATAAAATGTATAAATATTATTAGAGTCCATAAATATTTCTACTTCCTGCATTATTCACATTCTGTGCCACTATGGCCATTAAATATGCAACAACATCAACAACAACAGTAACAACTAAAGAATGTTTAGACGCTTCAACGCAACCCCGTCTAATTTGAATTTGATGCTAACAAAAAAGAAAGAAAGAAATCAGAATTACAATAAAAAAATAGAGAAATTAGTATCTGCAACATTCACTGCTATTTGTATTGGTTGCTATTTGCAATATTTGCATGCCAACAGCAATGTTGCAACATTTATGGTAAGCAACACCTACTCTCGCTGCAGCCAACACTCGAACCATAAATTTTCAGCATATTTAACATGCGCATAAAACTGCCATGAAGATGAAGACAATAACAACAATAACAACAATAACAAGAAAGTGCTATAAGTGTATTGGCAGCGAATAGACTGAGAGCTAGACAGACAACGATATTGTTGCAAGTAGTGTAATATTTGGGATACTTTAAGTGCGCGCAACTGGAGTGAAGGCGTTGCCAGAACGCCACCCATTGAGCAAGCAGATACCTAACGGATAGGGATAGCTTATCGAAGGTAGAGTGAACAAAGTAAATGTGTGTGTGGCTATTGGCAAATGGTTTGAACATTACACCGAGACTGATGGGAGGTGGAACTAATCGAAAGAAAGGGGAGGAATTGGGGAGAGTTAAGGAATTCTCTACAAGCCGGAGATGTTTGTATGAAAATAATATAAATATTATTTATGAACACTTTAAATAGCAACCGAACTTTTATTAAAATCTATAAAATCCTCCGGGAATTCCGCGTTTTTTTTAGTCAAAAAAAAAAAAAAAAAAAAAAAAAAAAAAAAAAAAATAGTCAAAAAAAAAAAAAAAAAAAAAAAAAAAATTATGGATTCGAAGCACTTCAAACGAGTTGTATTTGTGCCAATTTCGTTCAGTCTTGAGCAACGAACTAAAACTGCCTTAAGCGGCACATAAAGTTTGCTCTACAGACGGAATTAGGAAGGCGAAATCGTGCTTCGAGTATCAAAATGATTTYTGATTTTTACTTATTTGTATGTTAGGTCATGTCAGGTTATTGTAGGTGTAGGTTAGAAGGCTGATCAAAGACTCCTATATGTAGTCCCCTGTGCAGCCATGAAGAAAAACTCCTGTGTTCGAATTTATAAATTTGGAAAAAGGGCTTAGTAGCGAATACAAATTTGCACAGGTGCTTAATTTACCATCCCACCAGTTCGATGGGGTATTTGAAGATATGCGCTCCCAAATTTTTTAAATCGTGAGCTCCCAAACGCGAGACAGGAAAGAAGGAAGTATTGAGTTGTACCCTCTTACACCTCAACTTTTTCCATGGCGTCTGGTAGAATTCCAATGACATCTTAAAAGTCCCACAACAAGGAAAATGTTAGCCTTACTGAAGACAAAAAGAATGCGGGATCTCTTGTGATAGATCTTGGGCCAAAAGCTTTTGCGACCGATGATGGCTCAGCTGGTSAAGCCTCCGTGAAGCCCAGCTATCTAGTAGTAG